TGGAGGTTAGTCTATCACACACCCCACAACCCAATATAAATCTTCAAGTATTCAAACAGGCATAGAGGAGGAACAACGTATATCCTCTCCAATGTGGAAATACTTGGACCATGTGCAAAATAGGCACAAATCTACTCTTTTCGGTAATGTGGTAGTATGGAACTTCATTACCAAGGTTGAGCATTTAGAAATGATGATGAGCCGAGGAACAAATGCCATAGACACTGATCGGATATTTTGCATTTGATTCTGCTGCCTATTTTACACTTCGTTGCTGTTATTGTAACACTGACCATGATATTTGATGGCATGGGGTGTGCGATAGACTTACCTCCACGTGGTGCGCCCTGGGCAACGTATACTCATACGGCAAAAAAGTCTATTAACTGGCAGTTGACTTCTCACTTTAAACTACCATGACCCCACTGTATGTCATATTCAACTACTTTCACAGTACTCACCTTTTTTCTACCTTTGTGTTTGTCTCTTACATCTTTGGAACACTCTTCTGTCCCCCCCCCTCTCGAATTTTTTTCAATTTGATGTTCCTTCCCCTCTGTGAAGTCTGAAGTCAACTAAAGGGCTATTGATAACCATCAAGACGCCTGCCATTTGATATAAATAAAATAAATATTTGATGACATTTTTACTTTTGTTTTAATCATGTTTTTTAATGATTGTAGCCCTTTTATACTATTTATTAATTGCATTCATTTGCTCCTCTGGTTGATTCTAGTGAGACATACCGACAGTTTGCACACTTTTAGAAGTTATTCCATCAACAGAAATTATTGAATTGCGAGCTAGTCATTCTACTCAAGACACAAATGCACAGTAATTAGATTAAGGTCTTTATTTTGAACTACCAGGATAATTGAATTACTGAAGGAACAATTGTTATGAATATTTAATCTTTAAATTAATTTTTATTTTCTGGTGTTTGTTCTAGTCGCTTGAAGTTCGCCTGGACTGTCGATGCCTTGGGCTTGAGCAGCCTGGCCATGACCGACCTGGAGTCACCTAACATTCTTCTCTTTTCTCCCGCTAACCATACTATCGCGCTTCACCCTTTCTACTCTCAACCCGAGAAGATGGGAAATTTGAAAAAGCCCCAGATTACCGACTTTCTAATTGATGCCGTTAATGGAAGAATATCAGTAGGTTTTGGAGTTATTGAAGCTTGTTAGTGATACTTGGCCTACGACCAATAATTTTTAATAATTGGATTTTGGGTTTTGATATCGAATTAGTCTTGATTTAACGGCTCTTGATGGGAGGTTGTTCTCAATTCCATTGGGAGCTTGTCCTTATCGCGCAGATAGCTGCCATATCCCGGTGATTGGTTTGGTTATATCATTTTGTCTAGATCGTAGATTTTAAAAAGAAAATTGATATCGAAGACGGATAATAGAAGTGGTTGATAATGAAACGTTTGACGGCCAGTGATTCTTGAAAGCACTGACGACAGTTGCCGTCTTCAGTTTCATTTACGTTTACTATCTTCTCATCACTTTTGATGGGTCAGCTATAAGCTAGTAGGACTGATTAGCTAGACCGTACGTTGTTTCCGCCCACCATCTACATTACGACCACCTTACACTGGAGATAGTGACTGGTTATCAGTAGCCTCGTGAGACATAGTATCCCTTAACGTTTCCATATGTGCTCTTTTGGATAGCTTTTGTAATTAAAATTTTCAACTTAAACTCCTGTTTCTCTTTCAGATGTATGGTGGACGGGGATGGTTGGTTGCTATACGTCGCTTCCTCTTTGACTTTCGCAGTGCTTGCATAGTGAGTTAACTCATTTCTATGTTATAATTCATCCACCAATCTCTTTAGAACATGATCCAAACGTCACCACTCATTGCCTTGATAACATTTGGCGTCCCTCTGAGCTGTCTATCTTGCCTTGTGTACTGCATCTGCTGCGCACCAGGCGACGATTTAAATATTCCTGAGGGAACTTTGTCAGCCATTGGACCAGAGGCTAGGAGAGCTCGATTGCTTGCTAGAAGACAAACGGAAGAACAGCCAACTTCAGCCAAGTATGAAGATACCTCTAGAGCAAGGTCTATATACAGTCGGAATGCGGGTGATTATTGGGTGTCACATTATAGGCTTAAGTTTTAAGCCTCTGGTTTCTGAACCTGACTTTGTTTATTTCAGCACAAACCAAAGTTGTAGAGCCTACAAATGAGGAACCGAATCCAACAGTTTTCGAGGAGTCAAGGAAAGATCGATGATTTTTTGCAAAGAGGATGATCAATTACAGTCAGCTCTTTTCATTGTGTTCAGTTTGTGTGTCTTACTATGGTTTAACTTCTATAAAAAAAGCTCTTAGTATTGTTTTTTTTTGGTTATAATATTACTAGTTTTTGGAACATGTGGAAGCCATTCGTGACTTTCGGTTTCATTAATTACAAATGCATTTTTCATCTTCCTGACACAAAGAAATGCAATTAATGCCATTTGGCATTGATCTTGACGGCAAAGCTAATTAAATATTAGTTTAAAATTAGGCCAAGTATTTCCTTGAGGATTTATTGATTTTCTTAAAGACTACCAGGAATGCAAGAGTCTTAACCGACTGAGAAGAGGGTAGGATAGTTGAACCACATTAGAATGATTTATATTGGAAAGGGGGGAGAGAGGGAGAGGATGCTAGTTAAAGGAACTGGAAGCAGAGAGGACGATTCTGGATGTGAGATTTAAAACAATAAGGTGGCTGACGGTTTCGGTGTCCCTTGTTTATTGATGAGCAACTGACGGGGATGAGGCATAAGTCCGAAGTTGCAGGCCTAGGAGTGGGATTGCTGTTCTGGTGGTGCTTTGCGTTCAAACTGAGGAATAGGACAACTAAATTTTTTTGAGCTCCTAGATTGGTGGTGAACTTATACGAAGAATTCTTCTAAATAAATATACGCAATAAGGGTCTGGCCGATTTTTAGTTGATATTTGAGGATCTTGTGGGCAATTATTGGCTATTACGGCCCTTTGAAGGTCTCAAACATATTTGAATGGAATTCGCACTTTAGTACCTAAGATTATGCTTGGAAAATCACGCTTCAAACACAACTTTTTTAAAACACCTCAATATTCATGAGCTGTTTCGGTCTTCTAAATGCAGCATAAATGGATGTTTTACTCCTAATTAAATAATAGGGTAGCGATGATTGAAATACTACCTAGTTTATTTGCTCTTCATTATGATATGAGTGACCAAATTCGGAATTAGGGGCTTGCATTCTTGATGTTTCTGAAGGTATCTATCCTCGACCTTTGGAAATGAATTTCTTATAAAAGTGAATAGGAAATCCTTCAAGTAAAACTGCTTATGAAATTTTAGTAACTACTGAAATACCTCCTATCGAAATTCCATAAGGACCGAAGTGGTTGAAAATTAATTGAAGATCTTCAATAACTACAAATTTTAGACTGCGCTATCTATTTACCTGGACATTAATGAATTGCCGACTTTTCATTTCACAGCAGCCGTAGTTGAATTGTACCTGGCTTAAAAGTGCAGTTGGAACCCCATGACCCAAAATCTTAATTGACTAGTGCTATCTCACAAGCAAGATCATCTTGACTATCTTGGTTTCATATGTGCTATATTCCATTTATGGGCACCAAGCGTGCTGCAGGTAGACTCATAACGCCTTTAACATGACCTAAGGATCACGCGGTATGGAGATTGGACCAATAGGAAGCCGAACTGGGAGCTGAGTGCGACCACTTGCCAGATTAGACCAAATGGACAAGAATTCCCTGTCGTTATTGGTAGGTTTTCCATCATGGGTCAAGAAGACCGGCATTTTTTATCCCTACTATTTGCCTTTTGTACCTTAATTTCGCTTTTCATGCATCCAATAGACCTTGTCATATCGCACTTGTATGCCTTAACCAATTGTGTCATAATAACGATCCATTTGGATCACACCTCCGCAGGCAATTTATCTTCAATGGTATGGCAAAAGCTGTGCAGCCTGTCATGGTACTATTTGTATCAACCATACACCATCTCAATTTTAGATTTCATCTCTAATTCGTTTTCCCCCACCTACCTCCCTTGTACTATCACGAGTCCTAATCATGCTTGTACTAATGGCGACAGTTGGGCCTCAAATATTGATTTTCTTAATCTAGGGGCCTGTAGCTGACTAATGTTAGGTACCCAACTCCAATAATCTAGCAGATGTGATGACCCTCTATTAAAAAATCATCACACCAGATCGACGCTTTGCGATTTAAAAAATTAGAACTAGTATCAAATAGAGTTCAAAACTAAAAATGTCAAATGAACGTTAGGTAGTACTATTATGATATAAACTGGGACAATTGACACTTAAATTACGGAGAATCTATTTGTTTTTAAACATCGTAGTCTTCAATTTTTCGTTCCACTCCATACAAAATTGAATATTGTGTCAATCATCCTTGCGCAGAGATGAAGAAATCATGTCTATAAGTAAAACTAAATTACCATAAACATGAAGCAACCAAAAGATCCTCAGTTTAAATCCTAACTTTACCTTAATTATGACCTAAATCCGATAATTTACTATGCTTAATAAATGTATTATTAACCATTGTAATGTACACCAGTCTTATTAATTGTGGGAATTAACTGATATTGAAGAACAGTGTACAATAGCTGGAATCGGTTTAAAGAAAGACAACAAGTTATTAACTGGTTGGAACACAAAAAAGATTTTATTTTGTCACGTTAAAACATTTTCGTCTAATGAATGAACAAGCTGAAATGTAACCTCATGCACATCCAGATAGGCTTGAAAGTACGCCGTGATACTTCATGTAAGGGGTAATTGCGGTCGTGAGTTCAGAGAGCACACAGAAAATCACCAATCAATAGTCTTTGCTTGGTCTATCAAATCCACCATATTGATAGAATGACTTAGCTCCGTAGCTGCGCATTCATTCCAAATAAGTGTGTTCCACGTGATACGTCTGCTTCCTCTATGGCTTTGAGGTAGCTTAGCTAGTTCTGAGAGTCTTTCCAAACATAGGAAAAAGTGCCATATCGATTTCTGGGTATAGTCAAAGCTTATTAATATAGCAATCGGCTACAATCTCACATGATATTCCGCAGTTTACAATTTTGGCATGACAGAGAAGGAATAGGTAAAAATATAAAGGTAATATCTTATAATGCCTTTAAATGACATTTTTATAAAAGTTATCAAAATAGAAAAATATTAACAAATATATGTGTTTACGCAAGCT